CCCCAAAACCCCAAAACCCCAAAACCCCGTCAAATTAATTAAAAGGATTATTAGTAGATTGATATAGTTATTAAATCAAATATTTATGTTTCAAATGAAAATTATATCACTGCTAATTAATTATAGAGTTAACTATAATAGATTTTAGCAAATTTTTAATACAGGTCAGTTTGAGTTTCGACGTCTTCCCCAGTCAAGTTGCTTGCTATTAGATTATGGAGGGAAATTATATCTCGAAACTAATTTATCAAAGTAGCACTTATTTGTGTGCGAAGTGTTATCAGGATTGAGAGTCAATTGAATGTCTAGAGTTCTTTATTTAGTTGATTAATTTTGCATATCCAAATTTTAGTTACTTTATAGGTTATTTAAATCTGACTTCTTTATACTATTCTTCCTTGATTAGCTCATCATCTGGCTATCTTTGATATTCTCAAATAAACCAAACTCATTCATCATTGCAGAGTGATCAGCGTTTTCTACTTACCATTTAGTGCTTTAGGATATGATATGTTCTTTAAACTTAGGCAACTTCTACTATTATCTCCTCCTATTATTTTATCGTAACTATCTGGGTATACCTTCACGCATGTCTACGTAACTCAATATCTTAACATACTATTCCCCCTTTTTCTATTTATTTTGATAATTTTTCTAAGGCTTCTCATCATCTAAATCAGGATTCAATGTTGGACTTTCAGTATCCCTGCCTTGCTTTATTCTTACCATGATCTCTTCACTTACTTGAATTTTTAGAGCATATTGTATTTCCTCTCTGCACAAATGGCATAACGGCATCTAGCCTTACCTTCTACTTTTTATTGCAAGCCTCATTGCACAATTAAAGCAAATATTTGAATGTCCACAATCCATCAGCACACAATTTGATGGCTCACTAAGACAGAGCATACATTCATATTATGTTTATTGCTATGAAGAGATTTTAATTTAGCCAGGTGTTTCATCATCAATATTTTTACTTCTCTTTGAATTGCCATCTTTTTATTCCCCACTTTTCTCATGCTTCTTATCGCTTTCGAATCCATCATCATCAAATACATTATACACAGAGTCAGCTGAGTAGCATTTCTTGAGTTTTAAATTTGGCTTTCTTATATTTTTACTAGCAACATTTTTATTTTACTTTTTCTCATCATCAATATTCAATTCCTAATCATCATCTTTCAAAATATCTTTTCCTTTAAAAGGAGTTTTAAAAGTCTACTCATGTTAATTGATTTCGTGCTCCTCAAAGCCAAATTCTATATCTAAGTTTCTAATATTTTCGGTGTCATCAAATTTTAAATTCGTAGTGAAGCACTGCCTATCATCTATAAGTATTTCTGATAATTACTTATGATGTTCAAGAGTATCATTTCCTAACTTTGCAAGTTACGACTGAAATAGATTATCCTCTTTATCTATTGAGGCATCTTGCTCTGAAAAATTTTATTAATGATTATTAAGGGATTTTCTAGGTTTCTAAGTCCTCTTTTGGGACATGTTTTCATCAGGGATGCTCAATATATCTATAATGTCAGTTTCATTTACCTTAGAATCTTTTATGTCAAACTTGAACTATTCATTCATTTTTACTTTTTGAGATTTCTTGAATGATAGTTATTGCTACTTTTGGATTATCTTTTTATTGATATGCATTTTCGATTTGTATCTGCTCTTTTGAGGCTATATCATTCTTCTCTAATTCACAGCAGTCTTAGAAAACAGAGATTTCGCAAACTTACCAATTGTCTAATAATATGATTGTGATATTCTCACTAGGAACTTAGAAAATGGCAGATCTTCTACAGTATCAATATTCACTCGAGTCAAATTCTCCTAAAGAGTGTTGAGCTTTTCAGCGTTTATTCCATTCAATCTGCCATCATCACCCTCGTTTTAAGAGTTTTCAATTTCCCTTTGACACATTTCAATTTTCTCATGAATTTTGTCTAAAGATAATTATTCAATTAAAGTATCTTACTCAGCTCGGAAATATTGATTTTTATTTTGATAAGTTGAGACTTCCAAAATACTAATTATCTGAAGCATAATGAAGTCATAATGAGACTGAAAATCATATAGATCAAAGTCTGTATTGCAGATATATAAGGTTGCTCCTATTTGCTAACATAGTTAAATATGGCTATCATTATCACTATTAAACTATAAGTGAATCCATTCAGTATCAGCATCACATAAACAATCATTGTACCTAATAATTAAGAATCAACAAATATTACAACTTACAAGAAAATCTTTAATCTTACTAACCTCTCTGAATTTCATTTTATGGTATATTACTACTAGGAGCAGATTACTATTATTGAGCAACACTTGATTAGCTTCTTTATTCCAAATCTCTGTCCCTTCCTCTTTCTCTTGCCCTAGATCTTCCGTGATTGTTGCCAGCTCTATTTCTATCTCTATTATTTAGCATGATTTAACTAAGATTCTAATTAAAAACACTTTAAGTGTTGTTAGTGTGATCACTCTCTTCGTCTACTGTATATCTAGAATTGAAAGTCTGAGACATGCTTCGGGATTGATTTGGATTTCTTCCATATGAATTTTAATTTACTCTTTAGCACAGGTAATTGAAAAACAAAAACAGAGACCCACACGAGAAGATAAAGGACATAGCTAAGAAAATGTAATATGGCCTAAAATCTATAAATTATAAAAGTTACCATAGTAATAGATATATATTCCAATCAATGACTTTTGTAAGTTTTAAAGAAGCATTGATCAGCATTCCTAATATAGAAATCCTTATGAGGAAAGAAATTATATTTGTGTAGGTAAAATTGAACTGAGAGGCATTGCTATCGATACAGAAATAACATAGCATACTTGCACTACTACCCCCGCTTTATTGCAAGGCAGCCTCTATTTCTCTGTCCTTTTGAGTTTTACGATGACATAGACATTTCAGAATAATTGGTAATACCCATCGGCAAAATAAACTAAGGGAATACGGGATGGGCATCAATTTGTAGTACTAGTTTTCTTACTTATTGAAGCAAATAGTGATTAATACCTATAGAGAATTTTAAAAACGCATTAAAGGCAATTACGAATTGCAGAAGTATCATTAAGTTTTCAAGGATATTTGGAATCATGTCTAAATAATTTTCGTCTATAAAAAGTAAAGATAAATAGGCAAGAAGGAACAAATTGGAGATAGTAAAACTTGTTTTCAGAAATATTATATCTATTTACTTACCAATAAGGTTGTGAAATTCTATTGCTAGTTTTCTCGATTATCTCATTGCTTTGATACTCTGGGCTATATCCTTAACTGAAATGATGAATAGAGGAAGAAAAGCAATTTCCTAGACGAAGTTGATTCTCCAGTGCAGAATAAGAAATAGCACCGAACAGAAAAGTAAAAACTAAGACTGAAGAACTGAGAACATAAAAGCTTCAGCTCTCCTTTTTTTGTAAGCCTAGATTCCCAGGAAAAGCCGTTGCAAATCAGAAATTAATCGATTGTAGCTCGCTACTGTAATACCTCTTTGCTAATTTCTTTCATTATTTTATCTCACATTGCTATCCATGATGTATATAAAATTGATTTTAAATTATTCTTAAAAATTATCTGTACTTCATTAGCAGCAGGGGTTTTGGGGTTTTGGGGTTTTGGGGTTTTGGGG